CCCCCCCCCCCCCCCCCCGGCCACAAACCCGCTGGCTGAACTGCGGGCCGTACTCCTCCTCCGAGAAGGAGTCGTAGTGCGAGTCGTAGTGCTGGGAGGGCTCGTACCGCAGCACGTTGAAGGGCTCGCCGTGCCTGCACCGCACACACACGAGGGGCAGCACGCTCGCCGGGGGCCAGGGGTGGAGCAAGAGGCAGCAGCGCTGGCTGGCCCCCACCCTGCCGTCGCCAGCCGCCCCGGCCAGGGGGCAGCGCGCTTCTTCGAGGGAGCAACCGACCGGCGGCAGCAGCCCACAGCAGCCGTGGCCCACGCAGCCCCAAGCCGCCCACACACGCGCCAGCTCACTCAGCGGCCTGCTTCGGCACGCTCGGCAGCCCGCCCCGGCTGGCAAGCAGGCGCTCACCCTGCCGGGATCATGGTGACGGCGGCCAGCTTGTCCTCGATCCATGCCAGCACCCCGTCTGGGTCCTCCTGGCGGGCAATAAAGGTCCCCCGCCGCTGGAGGTGCGCACGTCGCGCGTGTTCTCCGCCGTGTCGCCCGCCTTGAAGGCCAGGCCTGCGCGGGAGGAGAGGAGGCCGGGGGGGCACGGGGCGGGGTGGGGGTGTAGAATCGTCGCAGGAGGGTGACCGGGAGCATGGATGGCACCAGAGGGTGCAGACGAACACACAGAGAGGCGAGAACAGCCCTGCAGCCCAGGGGCACACAGCCCTGCAGGCCAGGGCCACACGGCAGCCCCGCAGCGCGGCGGCGCACCTGAGGGCGCCAGCCGCCGCTCCGCCATGGCGATGACGTGGTCGCACTGCTTCTGGGACAGGAAGCGGGGCATGAGGTAGGCGCGCGGGTACAGCGACAGCAGCTGCATGGGCTGCAGGCCGCAGCGGAGGCACAGGGGGCCAGGGCAGGCAGGACGCAGCGCCCATGTGAGCGGGGGGAGTGGAGCACCCCTGCGTGGCGACGGGCGCATGCCAGACCCTGGCGAGAGAGCAGCCGCGGCGCTGCTGTGTGGCAACACACAGCCCCCAGGCATTGTAGCAACGAGGCAGACGACCCTCGAAAGGACGGACAATGCCGCATGCGCTGCATGCGCGGCATGGTGCCACCGGCGTGCCATGAAAAACCTCTGCCGTACCGCCCTGCCCTGCTCCCCCGCCCCCCATCATCCGCCTGCCCGCCCGCGCGCCCCACCTGCACTGTGTAGAAGGAGTGCCCCGACTCGCCGTGCTCCAGGGGAGGGCGGTCGGCCAGGAAGCCCACGGCCTCCAGCGCCTCCTCCGCAGTCTCGTACTTGACGTCAGCCAGGCTGCGGGCCGCCGCCGCCAGCACCTCTGGCGACGGCACGTCCAGGGCAGCCTGCGCGTCGGCCTCGGCAGCCGCATCCTCCAGCACCGACCGCCGCTCCACGGCCTCCTGCTCCTCGCCCACGATGGTGGGCTGCACGCGGACAGGGGGGGCAGGCACACGGGGCATGGGACTGCCGCCGGCAGCGGCGCAAGGCAATGAGGGCGGGGCGGTGGCCTCGCCGCCGTGAACCCGCCGTCCCAGCATCATATCCGCCGCCATCGCGGTCCACTTGCACCAGCCCGGCAGCCCTGTGCAGTCCCAAAAAGCGCGACAGGGAATTCAGCAGGACGTACCCCGATGCCCGCCTCCGGCAGGGCGGTGGGAAGGGAGATGAACCTGCCCGCGAAGAAGCATTTTATGCAGAGCAGCGTCACGGCAGGCGTGCCCCACCCCCCGCCACCGCTGCTCCGCGGCGCCTTCTTGGGGCTCGTCATGAGGTTTCAGCTGCAGGGATTCGATCGGCAGCGTCAATGGCGCCGCTGGTGCACGGTTGGCGGCCAAATCCGCCGCCGCCGCCGCCACCCTGGCGCCAGCGGGCCGTGCGCGCCTGAAAGATGCAGCCATTCATGGCTTGTACATGTAAGCACTGCTGGTACAAAACTCAAGCAACATGTGCATATGGGTTGTAGATTTACAGCCCCCCACGATGCTGCAACTGGACATCGCACGCGCCGCTGCCGCCATCGCCGCCGCTGTCGCTTGCCCTCCCTCCCCTGGGCTGACCTGCGCACGCCCTGGCATCAGCCAGCTGCCCGCCGGCTGCCACAGCAGCGACGGAAGTCCACGAAGGCGTCAAACAGGAACGTCCAGGCCATTGCGCTGCTCCCAAGCACTGCAGGTGGGGGAGAGCGCAGCGCGCGGCAGCGTGAGGCAATAGGCAGGGGTGGGTGCCGCAGCTGGCCCTGCTGAAGCCGCAGCGGGCAGAGCGCGACAGAGAGCGGTGCCAGAAGGGCGGCCTGGGATGCCACCACACCTGCCACCCATGCCATGACAAAGGAAGCCATGCCCCAGCCGTCTGAGTCGAGGTCGGAGGCCCAGGCATTGAAGGGGCGCATGGGCATGGGCAGGAGTGGGTCCTCCAGGGACTCAGACACCACCTCCTCCACAGCGGCCCCCAGCTCCGCAGCAGGCGAGGGGGCCTCAGCCAGGGCGGCCACAGGGGCGGGCGCCGGCGCCAGCAGGTCGTCGGAGGCGGGTGGCGGCACACAGGGGCCCTCGCCGTAATGCCAGTAGTGGATGGTGTAGCCCATCTCCCTGCACCGCTAGGTGGCAGGCAGGCAGCACAGTCAGCAAGCAGGCAGTGGCTTGTGCGTGTGCCACACGCAGCTGGCAGGTGCATGCCAGCGGTTCCTCACGTGCACGTGTCAAAGTATGACGTCCAGCCGATGTAGCTTTTATCTACAGAGCAGCAGGCATGAATGGGCAGGCTCACTGAGTGGTGAGGCAGAATGCAAAGCCTGGCAGCCCTGGTGCAGCTCTGCCTGCTTGGCTGTTGCCATCTGCTCAGGCAGGCGGACGGCGGCACTCGGGCGGGGCAAGGCCGGTTCCATTCGCATGTTGATCGCACGCTCGCGGCCCACCTGCCAGCGCAATGAAGGGAGTCCAGTAGCTCTCGACGCAGAAGCAGTTGCGGGAGGGCAGGGTGGAGTTAGGGCCGTAGTACTCTGCCAGTACCTGGCAGCAGGACTCGACTGCAGCCGCGGGCGGTGCAGGTTGGGCAGGAGCAGGCGCAGGCGGTCAGGAACTGAGGCAGCAGCAGTAGCGGTAGCGGAGCCGCTAGGTGGGGCTAGTGCTGGGTGCATGCTGCGTGCAGGCCAAACCTGAGGCCTTTGCCGCCGCTGCGGCAGCAGCCCTGCAGGGGCAGCAAGCAGCCTGCCACAGCCAGCATATGCATGCGCTCGGGGGTGGGCCAGCACCTGCCTCCTCCCTGTGGTACAGGGTTTTCGAGCACTCATGCTCCTTGCTTGTGGCCTCAAACATCGTGGCGGCGGTGCAGGCAGCCTCTGGGTCGTCGGGAAGCAGCAGCTCCTGGCCATTGGCGGCCATCGAGGCCAGCGCCACGCAGAGAAGCAGGGCGAGTCGGCGGAGGGAGGCCATGCTTGTCGTATTATGCCCGTTAACAGACAATTCGGCACCCGTGGGAGATCAGGCGGTGTGCAGAGGACCGTTGGCTTGAGACCCCCCTTTCCGCGCAAGGTTGGGAGGCAGCGTGCGGCAGGAGTGCGATGGGCGCGAATTCAGCTTGCAGGACCCAGCACCAGCAGGGCACGCGCCTTGCCTTGCGGCTGCGAGTGATTTTCTGCACGTGCAGGCGCGTGCCTTGCTGGCGCACCTTCTGCGCGCGTCAGGTGCACGGGCCATCTCTCGATCTCCTCTCGTGCACAGTTGATGTTTAGACGCATTTGTGCATTTTGATTATTTCACGGCCATGGGGCTGCCGAGCTGGGCTCCAACGGCTGCCCGGGGCGGGCTGAAGCTGGTTATTGCCGGCTGCCTCGCCCTGTTCAACTATGTTTTCTGGTATTGGGTGACAGATGCGTATTACGTCCAGATGGCGGCCATCTTTAACAACTGGGGACTCAAATACCCTCGCTCGGGTACGCCCCGATGCCTACGCAATGCATGCGTCACGGAGCTGCCTGTGTCATGGAGCTGCCTGAAAACAAGCCTGCATGAGGTATGGAATCCGCTGCAGGGAGCCTGGGAGTCAAGTCTCTGGACGCCTATGACACCGGCATGGTGGCGCTCATGTGGCTGCCCCTCCTCGCGGCAGCCTACGCCACGCTGGTGCTGCAGGCAATCCCTAAGGGCGCAGGTGTGCTGGCCGTTGCGCATGATTTGGGCTGGTAGAAGAGTCCATGAAGGCGGTGTGGTTTCCAGCACAGCCGCTGCCTGCCCGGCGCGGCGTCCACTTGACATCGGTGCCTGCTGCTGCTGCCGCGCCCTGCAGTGCCCCGTGCCTACACTCGGCTGAGGCGGCAGGTATGCCGCTCCGCCGCCCTAAAACAACTTGAGCCTCCTTACCTCCTCTTGTGCTGACGACTCGGGCAGCTCTCTGGCCCCGAACCTGAGCATTCTCTGCCCCGCCCACTCTTCCTGCCCCTCACATGCAGATCCGCATCGTGCTGGCGTGGGAGGCGCCGCCCCGCCGCTTCTTCACATGGTGGTGCGGCGGCATGAGCGTGCGCGACTTGATTGTGGTGATCTTCATGGTAGCTGCCAACCTCTGGTACTTCATCTGGTACTACCGCTCCTACGATCGCCAGCTGGACGCAGGTGGGCTGGGGAGCGGGGAGCGGGGGGATGTGCCGCATTGCGGCGTGCTGCTGTTAGCTGTGCAGCCGGCGCGCCTGTGACTGCGTTTCTCTACTGGCGGACATTGCCCCAGCACATTGAGGATGCCTTGCGGGCTGAGTGGGCAGGCCCCTGCCCGCTTCGACCGCGCCGCGCGTGAACGCACGCCTGCCATGCTTACCACGCAGCCCTTCCCTTGTCTTGGGTGTGTGCAGTCGCAGCAGCGGGGGTGGCCTTCCCCGAGCCGCGCTGGCGGCTGATGCTGGAGAGGTGGGGCTCCTCCCTGCTCAGGGCCCCTGTGCCTCTACATGCACAGCAGGGGCCCATGCACTGCCACAGTGCACATGCGCTGCTGCTGCCGCTCGGCCCCCGCCGCCCCCCCCGCCCCTCCCACGGCTGGCTGACCACCCGTGTGGCGCCTGCCCTCGCTCTGCCTGCAGGGTGGCCATCATTTTCGGCATTATGATGTGGCCCAACATCTGGATGCTCTTCTTCCCCATCCCTCAGTCCTCGTTCCTTCAGACGCTGACGGGCCTGCAGTACACCGAAATGATACGGTACCACAGGTGCCAGGTTCCTCCCCGCTGGAGTTGGCCGCGAGCTTGCTCTGCCAGCCGCCCCACCCTTGCGGGCAAGGCACCCTGACTGTGCATCACCTGGCGTGCATGCATGCACATCTGATGAGCATTGGGCTTGTCGGCTGCTGCCCCTGCTGCGCTGCTGCAGGTGGGTTGGCCAGATCACACTTGTGGTATTGTCGCTCCACGGCTGGCTGTACTACCTGTACTGGGCGCTGAAGCAGGAGTGAGTGCAGCCTGCCACGTGGCCCACGTGCAGCGGCGGCAGCAGGGCAGGCCTGAGCTGCGCGTAGCCCTGCCCTTGCCGGCGACGCGGTGTTCGGCGGCGCGCCTCCCGCCGTTCATTACGCATGCCGTGCTGAGCGTCTGTCTTCCCTTGCCCCTTGGTACCGCCAGGTTCTGGTACAACTTCTCCAACTGGGGCACCCTCAGCTCCATCAACTACCTGGCCGGCACCATCTCCTACCTCTTTGCCCTCGTCCTCTGGTCCTCCTCCCTCAGCTGGGTGCGCAGGCGCTTCTTCGAGGTGAGCGGCCGGGCAGTGGCAGTCCTGGCTGCAGCGCGCTGCAGCATCCTGCCGCCGCTGGCAGCAGGGAGGGCTGCCGCCAGCAAAAGCTGGGCGCAGCTGCAGCAGGCCAATGCTCGCAGGTGCTGCCCAGCCTGGTGAACGCTGCCGCCCTGCCGCGCGCGCACCTCTCCTGCCCCCGCAGGTCTTCTACCGCTGCCACATCGTGTGCTTCCTGGGCTTCACCTTGTTTGCATACATGCACTATTTCTGGTCCTGGAGCTACTTCCTGCCAGGTCGGCCGCTACTCCCTGCCGCCGCAGCTGCGACGTGTGTAGCAGGAGCCAGCCACCACAGGCTGTCAATGGCCCCGGCAGTGCTGTGCAGACCAGGCCGGCTTGCATGCCTGCTGAGCACAGCGCCGCCGCCTGGGGAGGCACAACCAAGCCCTCCTTCCCCACCTGCAGGCATCATGCTGTACGGCGTCGACCTCGTCCTGCGGGCGGGCCAGCTGTCCCAGACCACCCTCGTCACGGCCGCCTCTGTGGACAATGAGGCGGGGGTGGCCACCATTCAGCTGAAGACCTCCAAGGTGCCTGGGCAGCTGGCTCTAACAAAGCGCATGCACTAGCAGCTGCCCTGCTTTGCTGGGAGAGTTGGAGTGGGTGCATTCAGGGGCCCTCCTATCATGGCAGGTAGACAGCCAGGGAGGAACTGGCTGACCTCTCCGGCTGCCGCTGCCGCTCGCCGCGAGTGCAGGACATCACTAGCGCCTGCCCCGTGCACGAGCTCTTCCTCATGGTGCCATCCATCTCACGCTGGCAGTGGCACCCCATCACCGTGGCCGGCACAGAGCCAGACGCCAGCGGTGAGAGGATGTGCACGTGGCGGGCAGCCCGCAGGCACATGCACCCTAAACCTGCTTTTTTCCTGTGCATGGACTGTGCCGGAGGAGGGAGGGCCAGCACCGGATGCCGCAGTGTGCCATTCATTCTCACCTGCATGCTGCTGTGCAGGCAGCGGGTCCATCATCACCCTGAGCATCAAGCGCTACGGCAAGTGGACCAAGGTGGGGCCTGGCGAAGGGACTGCAGGGTCAGGCTCCAGCGGTGTGGAGGGCCAGACGTTATCTTCATGTGGGCAGCCCCAGTCTGTCTTGAGCGCATGGCGGCATCTATCGACCGCCTCGTTTTCATGGCATCGCCTCTGCAGGAGCTTCTGGAGCGCCTGCAGCGCCGCCAGCCACTGGCCCTGCGCGTCTCAGGCAAGCAGGCGCTGCAGATGCTGCCGCGGCTTGCGCTGCCCTGCCGCCGATCCTCCTGCCCCTGCTTGCTTCTCCAGCACATGGTGGGCTGCTCTAATCACTGCTGGCTGCCAAACAGCACTCACCCCAAGCTAAGCTGTTCTCACTGTGGCCTGGATCCCTGGCCTGCAGCTCCCCAGGTCCCCAAGCACTGCCTGTGGGAGGGCTGCACGACTCTGGTCCTCCTGGGCGGCGGTGTTGGGGTGAGCAGATGGCCTGCTGTGCTTGGGGTATCCCACGCTTGGGGTATCCCATGCTCCCTGCCACGCCGCTGGCCGCCCACCGGCTGGTGGGCTTGCCCAACCTTGTCGCCCCAAACGTCCACCTGCTGCTGCGCGTGTGCTGCACTGCAGGCCACCCCGCTGCTGGCCCTGCTGCGAGAGATGATTGCCGAGCGCAGGGCCGATCCCAAGGCGGTGAGTCGCTGCATTATGTGGAAGACGGCAGCTCGATGGCTGCGCACTTGGGAGGGAACGCGCGAGCCTTGCAATTGCCTCAACAGGCTGGGACTGCCGGGCTGGCGGTGCCCCATCCCCCTGGCTGGAGGTGCTTCAAGCACCGCCGCTGTGTTGCCGCTGCGCTGCAGGCCAGCAGCCAGCCTGGGCGCGTGCACTTCCTGTGGGCCAGCCGCCAGCCCCGCGAAATCTGCATGCTGGACGGAGCGGTGCTGGAGGCTGCGCGGTAGGCCTGCCCTTCAGAGAGGGCCTCTCTGCCTGTGTCGTGCGGGGCACTACCGGGGCAGTACTGCTGGCAGCGTCGCCGGGAAGGCCAGCGGGCACTGGCATCCAGCCCCACCCTGCTGGCCTCAGTGCAACTGCATAGCCCTGCCAGCCCCTGCGCTGCCGCCAGATGCAGGCTGCGGCTGACCCGCTGCTCCGCGTGCCTATGCCGCACAGGTCCAGCGACGGCTGGCTGACTCTGGAGCTGTTCAGCACCCGGCCGATGCCGGCGGCAGCTGACGCGGCGGAGGAAGGGGTGCACGGGGCCAAGGAGGGGGGCCTGGTGAGTCGGCGGCGGGCCGCGCCCGCTTGCTGCCCCCGCATGCTTCTCGAATAGAGATTCTTGGACGCACGAGTCTGGGTGGGGTGTCCGCTTTGCCGCCCCGCAGTGCCAGCTCACGCACCACCCCCGGCACTGGTGCGTTGCAGGGCAAGTCCGACTCCGGCAGGGCGTCGTCGGAGGGCAGCCAGGAGCTTAAGGCCGAGGACAGCTTCGGCAAGGATGCGTCCCAGCCCTCCATGGCTGTGTACCACGGGGTCGCCGACCCCGCCGTGCTTTCCTCCCCCTTCTTCCACAAGTTTGCCAGGTGGGCTGCGCTCTTTGCCAGCGGCTCTGCACTGCTGTGTGGCGCTGCTTGCGCCGCTTGCCCCTGGGTGCCCCTGGAGCCAGGCGCAAGCAGCAGCACACAGCGTGCATCTCTGGGGGCAGCGCTGACGCTTATACGGCCGGCTCACTGACCCGCATCGCGCCGCCGGCACCGGCGTCGCTGCCTGCAGGGTCATCCAGCCCCAGGCGGTTGGCTCTTGGCACCTGGCCCTGGTGTATGTGCTGGTGTGGGTGGGCACCTTCCTGGGGACAGTCCTGGGCGGCGCGTATGTGGGCGAGGCATACACCTACTTCGACACCAGTGGCATCTCCGTGTACCCCAACACCCTGTACTGGAAGGTGTGGGGCCGGGCTGGCCGGTAGCCGGTTGGCCTGCACCGTAGCACCGCCTGGCTGCCAGCAGACAGCGTCACGGGCCGTGGAACCCACGTTTGGGGATGGAGTGGGCCAGCCCATGCGCTGCTGCACAACCACCCAGCGTCTGCTCCGCTCCCCGGCTGCAGGTTGGCATGGTGTGGTTCTTCACACAAGCCATCATGATGATTGGTGTGCCATACATCCTGGCGGTGCTGCCCCTGCACGTGTGGAGGTGGGGCTGCCGCCACGGCCTGCCGTTGGCGGCTCAGCGATCCCCGCCTGCATCTGCAGGCCCCATGCCCAGCCCCCACAGTCTTGTCTTGTCAGCACTGCCGCCGCCTCCCTCTTCTGGTGCATGAACATCGAGGCTCTTTGCTGGCTGCAGGTACTGGCGCGCCACCCGCAACCCCGACTCTGCAGAGGTCCTGCCTCTGGCCCCACCTCACCACCCCACGGGGCACGGCAGCGGCTGCCAGCTGGTGAGCTCAACGCCGCCCGCCTGCCCATGCGTGCCGCTGCATCCGACGTCGACAACGCTGTTTCCGAGTTGGCCCCCGGCATGCCGTGCCACACGAGTGTTCGCGCCTGCACGTCTCCTCATGCCGGCCGCCGAGTTGTCTGCAGGTGGGAGGCATGCTGACGGCCGGCGGGGAGTCTGGCCTGGAGATCCTGAGTGGGCGGCCCGCGATGCGCGATGCCCTGCTGGCGGTGGGCAAAGACCTGACCCGCAGCGACACAGTGGGCGTGTTTGTGGGCGGTGAGTGGGGTGGCGCTGTGGCAGGCTTAAAGGGGCCCTGGCGATGCATGCCAGCCCACGGTGGCTATCATCGATGATGCATTTGCAGCCAGCACAGGCTGCGGAAGCGGCCCCAGGCTTCTAACCAATCCTGTCTCACCCTGGCTGCTTCTCGTGCAGGCCCCGAGCCGATGACGCGCCAGGTGCAGCTGGAGACGGCCTCGCTCAACGACTGGGGCCAGCCGGGCCCCCACTATGCCTTCCGTGCCATGGCGCACATGCTGTGACGTGCTGTGGTCGCCGCCCAGATGCTGCCACACGCCGCCGCACACAGCCACACGATTCAATAAATGTTTTTGCTACCCGGTGAAGGCCAACATTCAGCCCCCTTTCCACACTCGTCAACAAAATCGATGTTTTGTCCTGCCTGCGGATGCCGTCTTGCCACCCCTTCAAGCCTTTCTTCCTTCTGCCCCGCATAAAAGCCAAGGAACTGGTGTTGTCTGGTCCATTGCCCGCACCTCACACCACCGGCTCCCAACCCCTTCCCGATCAGACTCAGAGCAGCACATTACACTGCTGTGCAACATTCTGGTGCCCACTGTAAATAAATTGCGTGAGAATGAGCAGCAGGGAGGAGGCGGCACAAAGTAGGCACAACAGCTTCAGCTGGGACGCGGCAGCTGCCAGTTCAGCAGCTGCGTACCTCGCCCCGCCACCCCAACTAGGTATTTAACAGCGGTATCTGGAAGCAGCGCCGAGCCAGCCTGGTGGCCTGGAGAAGCGCCCGGCACCAGCAGCGGCGCCGGCAGCACGTCGAGCGCAGCGGGCTCCACCACCTGCGTGAAGCAGCACCCCGCCTCCTCCACCTCCAAGCTGGCCTCGCTCCCGCCATCGCCCCCTCGCCTGCCGCCGCCGCCGCCGCTGCTGCTGCGGGCGCGGTAGCGAGCCGTGTCCATCCAGGGCAGAACCAGCTCAGCTCCGTCTTCCAACCACAGCTCATCATCTGCGCCGCTCTCTCCATCTGCCAGCGCCAAGCCGTCCAGGCTCGGCAGCCCCGCTGTGCTAGGTGGCGCGGCCCACTGTGGCTGCTGGGGCCGCTGATCCTCCTCCAGCCGCACCCGCCAGCAGCGCACCTGCTGGTCGAGGCCAACCGAGAAGGCGACAGCAGTCACCGGAGCTACTGCTGGTGGCGGCGGTGATGGCTGAGCAGGCGGGCCGGGCTGCTGGCCCAGCCACACCGAACGCACCGCTGAGGAGTGGGCATTTGGGATGCTGAGGCGCAGCCTCACGGTGCAGGCGCAGCCGCTGCCGCTGCCGGGGCTGGCATGTGAGCCGGCGGGGCAGAGGCCGAGGTGCAGCAGCGTGAAGCACAGCGCCTGGTCGTCGCCACCGGTGAGCAGCAGCAGGCGGCCTGGGCCTGCGTGTGGAGCGAGCGCGGGGCACAGAGGGCAGGGGTGTGGGCACGGCTGCGCTGCGAGCGGCGGATCAAGCAGGGCAGTAGCATGTCGACTGAAAACCTGCTGCGCATGGCACTTACTGTGCTGTAGCGGCAAGCAGAGCAGAGCAGCCCACCTGCGGCGACAGCCGCCACGCTGTTCACTCCAGACTGGTGCACCCCTTCCAAGGCGAGCAGCGGATGCACCTCCTGCACCTCCACGGGCTCAGCGTGGCTGGCGCCTGCTGCTGCTCCGCCTGCCGCTGGTGCTGCGAGCGGTCCGCCTGCAGCCGTGACATCCCACACAGCCACGCAGCCATCCGTGTCTCCGCTGCAGATGATGTGTCGGTGCTGCCGCCTCGAGGCGGCGCTGCTGCTGCCGTTGCCGCCGCTCCCAACTAGGTCGGCGCTGGGCACCTCTAGGCAGCAGTGCACGGTGCAGAGCACAGGATACGCATGGTGCCGCAGCGCCGCCACCTCCTGCCACTGCTGCTGGCGCTGGCCGGTGCCCAGCTGGCGCCGGGGGCCCGCCAGGTCAGCGGTGAGCAGCGCCAAGCTGGCATCCGAGGCAGCCGCCACCACAAACACTTGCACCGGGTGCGCGGCGATGCCTGGTAGCACCTGCCTGGACGCTTCTGCTGGCGGCAGGCATGCCTCCTGGGTTGTGCCATCCTGTGTGGGGGCCTGCTGGCCTTCTGCTCCCACCTGGGGCTGGGGTTGGTGCCGGTCTGCCGGCTTCTGCCACAGAAACGCGCTGATCGAGAGGTAGCGCTGGTCGCTTCCCAGCTTCTGGCTCTGCAGCACGATGCAAACAGGTTTCACACTTTGACATGCGTCTTTGGCAAGCTCAGCAGAGAGCAGGGGCACTGTCGGGCTGAATGGTGGGGGACCAGCGCCGACGGACAACCAGAGGCAGAAGAGGGAAGGACTCTCAGGCAGCCGAACTCACCCCTGTAATCGGCTTGCGCCTCGGCCCCGCCGCCAGCTCCTTCACAGCCAGCTCCTCGCAGCCCAGAGGCAGCAGGAGGTGCCGCAACCGCCGCCGCCGCTGCTGCTGCTGCTGCTGCCCCTGGCCCTCCCGCCTCTCCAGGCTGCGCCTGGCCACCGGCCGGCGCAGGCGGCACGCCATGAGTGCTTGCTTTGCGCCGGCCGCCAGCAGCAGCCACTGTTCCGAGGCACGGCTCCCGCTGGCGCCGTCGCCGCTGCTGGAGGGGAGGGGCAGCAGGGCAAGCGACTTCACCGCAGTGCCCTGCACCGCCTCTGCAAGGTGAGCTGCCGTGTCAAACGCCCCGTCACCGCTCAGGCCGCCCTCAGCATCACCAGGCAGCGCCAGCAGCTGCTGCCGCAGCAAGCCGTCAGTGCCGCCTGTGAGGCAGCACACGGCTACAGCTGCCGGCCCGGCGACGTCGCCGCCTGCCTCCCCGCTGCCGCAGCCTGGCAGGTGCAGCAGCCTGATGCACTCCTGCTCCAAGCCGTGGTGCGGCGGGTGCAGGCAGCGTGGCGGCGGCGCAGCGCTGCCAGAGTCGCTGCCGGGACGCCGCCTGCGGAGGGAAACATCGCAGCAGCCTCAGCCCACATGAACAGCAGCAAGCAAAGCACCCCTGCCAGCCTTCTCATGTTCGCTCCTACTCATCTCCTCCTGCTCAGTCCGAGGCTTGCCTGTACAGCCAGAGGCGGGCATCCCGCACGAAGCACAGCGCCAGGTCATCGCCGCCAGCCACGTCAGCGGCCGCCGCCCGCCTCGCGCCGCCGCAGACCACCTGCATCACACCGTGGCAGAAGGGAGCCAGGATGTGCGGGTGCTGCTACAAGGCTGCCAGCAGGCCTCCACGTGTGGCAGGCAATTACCATTGCCGCCAGACAGCTGCTCGCCGCCGCGCCACCCACCCGGGCAACCTCTGCCTCGGCGCCCTCGTCCCACACAGCAAAGTGGCTAGAGTGGAAGCCGAACGCTATGCCATTGCTGCCGCCGCCGCCGCAGGTGTCGCCGGCAGCAGCAGCGGTCGCGCCATCGATGTGTGTGACGGCTTCGTAGCGCCGGCAGCGGGTGCAGAGCAGGCGAGGCGGGCCGGCAGGCTCCCCCCCTGCGTCAGCCGCTGCAGGTGCAGCCACGCCAGCGGCTGCCTGGCAGGCAGTCGCCACCGCCGTCGCTGGCAGGCGGAGCGCCTGTATGGTGCTGCTGCCGCCTGCCACCACCACTTCTGCGGCTGCAAGCTGCTCCGCCACGTCACGCCCCACTGCTGCTGCTGCTGCTGCTGCTGCTGCTGCTGTGCCGCCTGCTGTGCCAAAGGAGGCGCCGCATGCAGGAGGTGGCAGGTGGAGGCGGATCATGCGCACCGGTGTGAGGTCACAGACCTGGCGAGCCGCTGCCAGGACCAGCAGCTGGGCACCCCGCCCCTCCCCTGCTGCCTCCTCTGCTGCCTTTCCCGCTGCTGCTCCTGCTGCTGCTGCCGGCCCCTGCGCTGCTAGCGCTGCTGCGGCTGGTGGGTGTCCCAGGTCCAGCCCTGGAGGGGCCAGCAGCAGCAGCACAGCGATGCCGCCATCCGTGTCTCCCACAGCCACCAGCGCCGCCTGCCGCTGCCGCTGGTGATACCGCGGGGGCAGCAGCGCGGCTGCCAGCACAGTCACCTGCGCTGCAAAGGGCAAGCGAACCTCTGCCAATCGCTGTGGCTGCTGCCGCTGCTGCTGCTCTTCCTGCGAATCCTCCAGAGTGTGCAGTGGCAGCAGCCACAGGGTCAGGAGACCGCCACGGGCAGTGAAGCAGCAGCGGCTGCCCAGCCCGCCGCTGCTGCTGCTGCTGCCACCGTCGCACCTTGGGCTGCCCCACCAGATGCCTACATTGCCAGGACGGATGGGCCCATATGGCTGCCAGCTGCAGCAGGAGGCAGGCCCGACGGTCCTGCTGCTGCTGCTCCCGCCGCCGCTGCTGTCCCCGCCAACTCCAGCTCCTGCATGTGCTGCCTCTGGGCTAGGGCTTGGCTCTGGCTTGTCGCATAGCACGGTGACAGTGCCCCCGAAATCAACGGTTGCCACCCACACACTACCACGGCCGCTGCCATCAGCACTCTGCCGCCCTGCTGCTGGCACTTGCAGAAGCGACAGAGACATGAGAGGCATGGGCTTGCCACCGCTGCCGGCAACCCCGCCACTTTTCAGCAGGCACTTCCACCACTCCTCCTGCCCTGCCTCGGCATCTGCACACAGCGACAGCAAGCATGGCTCAGCCTACAATGGGGCGCCTGTTTGCACATGGGAAGCAGTGTGAGAGGGGGACCCAACAGGCACAAGCAACAGCAGCAGCAGCAGCAGCAGTGCCAGGCGGGTATCTCACTATGTCCCACCTGGCAGATGCACGCGGTGCAGCAGCCCTCGGTTGGTGCCCACATACACGCACCGCCGCCGCGACCTGGTGAGTCTGCCGTTGCTGGAGCCGGCAGCGCTGCCAACGCTGCCGCTCATTTCTGCCATCGCCAGGCAGCGCACCCACTCTGTGCGGCTCTCCGAGTGGACATCTTTCTGCTGCTGCTGCTGCTGCGCAGCATCCAGGTGTGTGTGATGGTCACAACCATAGCTGGCTTCGCTGCCCACCGCCACGGCTGCCGGGTCTGGTGGCATGCCCCGCAGCATGAAGCACTCTGCGGCTGGCAGGGCTGCGCCTGCGCTGCCGCCGGAGCCTGACGGCAGCCAGTCCGCAAGCCTCCAGCACTTGATGCTGCCGTCAGCTCCCCCGGTAAATAAACAGCAGCCTGCTGCCGCTGCCGATGCTGCTGCCGCCGCAGGCGCCTCGCTGGCAGGTGCCGGCCTGGCATGCTGCGGCGGCTCCAGCAGCGCGCAGTGCCAGATGCCGCGGCCCCGGTGGCCCTGCAAGCACGGCGGGGCGCTGACTCACTGCAGGCGCCACAGCAGAAACGCCACGCTGGCATCCTAATGTACTGCCTGATGCAGTACATAGTACAGGACCCACCTTGATAGTGCCCAGGAGCTGGCCAGTGGCCAGGCACCAGAGGCGGCAGCTGCAGTCCTCCGAGACAGTCGCCAGGAAGCCCTCGCTGCCGCCAGCAACGCCGCCACCGCCAAAGCAGCAGTCCCAGAGGCGAGCGGTGTGGCCCCACAGCACGTGCCGCGGCTGCAGCAGTGCCGGTTCTGTTGCAGGTGCCCCCGCTTCCCCGGCGCATGCCGCGCCAGCTGTGGCCGCATGCGCCGGCGGGATGGACCACAGGCGCAGCGAGCGGTCGTCGCTGGCGGAGGCCAGCAGGCCTCCGCAGGTCGACCACCGCACCCTGCGCGGGCAGAGGCAGGTGCCGTGCATTGGAGGCACGTTCCGCGGTTTGATCTGCCCCGCGACGGCATGCAGATGCAGCAGGCCATCTTGTGTGATGAAGTTCCCACCCTTCAGCCGCACCGGTGGATGGATCCCTCGTGGCCCTTCAGGCGGTACAGCGTGGCCGCCATTGCAGGCGCAGGGCTGGCCAGGGCAGCGGCCGCCGCGGCGGCTGCAGCCCTGGGGGCCTCCGCTGCCGGCGTGGCCCAGATGAGCACATCCAGGAACACGGTGCCTCCCGCCACCAGCCAAAAGGTGCTGCTGCTTCTGCCGCTGCCTTGACCGGCGCTAGTGCCGCCGCCATCGCCCTGCTGCCGCGGCAGCATCACCATCGAGTAGAGCAGGCAGCGCTGGGCGCCCTGGGCATGGAGCACGCGCTGAGCCCGGGGCGGCTGCGCCTGCTGCTGCTGCCCGGGAACGCTGCCCAGAGCGCTGCCGGTGCCCGCTGCGGCTGGCAGCTGGGTGACGAATGCCTCCACAGCATTGCTGCTGAGGCCGACCGCCAGGTGCACTGCACTGCCGCTGCCTGCCAGGCTCAGCTGCACATCCATGGTCCAGTGCTGGAAGCGGGGCAGCTGCACCAGGCGCTGCACCTCCCAGCCAGAGACGCCAGGACTGCTGGCGCAGGCATCGCTGCCAGCTGCGGCGGGCCCCAGCAGGCGCAGCAGCGCAGCATGCCGCCCGCCATGCACCGCCACCAGCAGTGCCGGCCGCGCCGCTGTGCACGCTGCGGAGCCGGCCTCTTCTGGCAGGCAGGCGATGCCATGAAGCCGCGCCGCATCGGGCAGCACCGTGGTGCAGCAGCAGCGGTTTCCAGAGGGCAAGGAATACGCGTGGAGCTGGCTGCCAATGCCCGCCAGCACGCCGCTGCCGCCACTGACGGCGGCGCCCTCGCCGCCGGGCAGGCGGGCAATGCACAGGGCCGTCACATCCCCTGTGTAGGCGCTCGTCACGGCGCACTGCCCTGGCATGCCTGCAGCCTGCAGCGCCGCTCACAGCTCCAGCAGCCGCTGGTGATGGCCCCATGCGGGTGGGATGGCAACCCTTGCCCGGCTGCCCGGCATTTGATTGAAGTCTTCTTTGGTCTCGATGGAGGGATCTCCGGAGCTGAGCTATTTTGTTCATTTGCTGTCGACGTGGCGGTGCTCTCCTCCCTTGACGCCCTTCGAGCCCCATCGTCGCCATCTCCCGCCGATCGCAACTCGAGGCTATCGCCCGACACTATAAAAGAGCCCTTCTCAGCCGCAGCAGCACAATTATGCACTTGGCGGTAGCAACTCGGCCGCCCTGCGGTGTGGCGCCTCGCACCACTCGCAGGGCCGGCTGCACACCTCGGCCCGCGACGGTGCAGCCATGGCGGCAGCCAGCAGGAGCTGGGATCGGCCTGCGCCGCTGTGTGGCAGCCCGCGGAGGCAGCAAGTTTGCAAACGTGAGCCCGTGCAGCGTGCGCAGCGCCTGGATGATTCCTGGGCGCGCGCTACGAGCCGGTGGTTTGGGCCCCCAGCCCAGCCGCCCGCCCACCGCGCCGCCGACCGCCTGCCTATCAACGCCAACCCCTGCGCGCGTGGCCCCAACGCGTTCCCATGCTGCAGATCCAGCAGGTGGATGCGGAGGAGCTGGAGGCTGAGATCCTGAACCGGGACCGCCCGCTGATCATCGACTTTTACGCCACCTGGTGCGGGCCCTGCGTGCTGCTGGCCAAGGAGCTGGAGACGGTGAGCTGCCTGCTTGGGGCAGGGGTGGTGTCTGCCGGCAGCCACTGCCACTGTCTGGAGCTGCTGGTACCGCGTGCTGCCATGTGCAACCATCCAGACACCGAATGCATTCTGGTCCTGCATGTGCGCCGTGAGCTGGACAAGGCACCCGCATGTGAGCCCCGCTCGGTCGCCTGTGTTCTGTCGCAGGTGGCGGAGAGGATGGGCGAGGCGGTGCGCATCCTCAAAATCGACACCGACAAGAACCCAGACATCTCCACGCAGCTGCAGGCACGCACGCAGCAGCGGGGCGCCCCGACTCGCCGGCGGACCACCTCCCTGCCGGCCGGCCTTTGCTGGGGCATGCTGCAGCCTCTCGAGGTCAGGCGGTCTCCTCCCACCACCGCTGCCGCCGCATCCCCCACTCCGCTGCCTGCAGATCCACGGCCTGCCCACCTTGATATTTGTGGGCATGGATGCCTCCAAGCCCGCGCTGCGCACGGAAGGCCTGCTGCCCGCGCAGGCAAGGCGCAGGCTTTGCCGGCTGCCCGGCGGCGGCCCCCTGCCTGCATGTTGCTGCTGCTGTTCACGCGGGGGCCAGCCTCCTGCTGAGCATCCTGACACAACCGCTGCTGGCCCTGCTGCTGCAGGTGATTCAGGAGATTGTGGAACGGGACCTGGTGGCGGGCGGCAGCGGCGACGAGGCCAAGTGAGCCGCTTTCCCAGGCACGCACGGTGCGGCACGGATGTCTGCCGTGGCCTTCTAGCAGGCAGGAGCGCTGCTGCTCTGGCTGCACCTGGGCACGATGGCCGGCCAATGAACGAATGACCCTGCGCCGAACAGCGATGCACGATACGGCAGCATGACTGGGATGCCGAGTTGGGGATGGCGGGCACAGGCAGCAGTGTCCGGCGGGGGCAGCGGGTCGACCCATCGCTCAGTTTTCCGGTCGGCAAGGGCAGGGTGACGCCTGCCTGCCCGCACGCACACCATGCACCTGCTCTCGTCTGTCGTCAACCATGAAACTACCTTGCAGTTTTTTCCACTTCTGCACTTTTCTTTGTGCCTGAAGAAGATTGTGTTTTGTATTGGCTCCACATGGTTACCGAAATATGCTTTTGTAAGTCCGCACCTAGTTCTCACCCCCTGGAAGCCCCAGGGCAGCTTCACAAGGTCACCACCTGCTGCCGCATGTCACCTCCTGAGGCTTCAGAGGGAGGCGCCGACTCCTGCCTGTCCTGCACCGCCTGCCCGCCCGTACTCCACCCGCAGGTCCGTCTTCTTGCGCGGCCAGGCTAATCGGCAACTTGCTCTCTGGCGCCTCCAGTCGCCCTCAACCCCCTCCTCACAGCCCCAACCCCTCGCACCACTCGCCCGATGCCTTTCTGCCCCAAGGCCGTGTTTGCTATGCCCTGCTCCCTCGCCGGCCTCACCTCCTCGTCTGATAGCGTACTACTAGTAGGTGAGCGTGCGAGAGCCTGAGGAGAGCCTCAGGAAGTGGAAGACACTATCGGTCGACCGCAGGCGGGCGTGCTTCCTGCTCTGCCGACCCTTCAAAGGAATGGGACCGTCCTGCAGAGCAGCGCAGCACCCCATACTGCAGTTGGGTGCTGTGCTCCCGCTCCCGCCGCCGCGATCTCCCCGCGACACCCACCACCACCGGCGGCGTTTACCAACCCCCGTTGTGCCGCAGTACAAGGAGGAGCTGGATCTGGATTCTGAGAAAGCCGTCGCGGGGAACCACCGCTGCTGCGCAGAGCGCAGGTGCGTGGGGGCTTGCCTGCGCCTGTCCGTGCACCTACCTCTGCGGCACCGTGCCCCAAGCTTGTTCCTCGCCTCCTCTGCTTACCACCCTGCCTCTGCTCCCGCCGCCCTGTGCTGCAGGCTTCTGCAGTCGTACGTGCAGCAGGGTCGGCGGCAGGGCGTGCCCGCCCACAAGCTCGTGGCCTGGGTGCGCCGCAAGCTCGGCGGCAGCATCGTGGTGTGGCGGCGCACGGCCGACGGCCAGCTCGCCTACGCCGCGCCCTGCCTCTTCTGCAGCCGCGAGCTGAAGCGGTTTGACCTGCAGGTGCACTGCGCGCTCGGCGGGGGCGAGTGGTGGAGCGGCAAGCTCAGTGACGCCGGCGCCCCGCAGGCTCGCCTCACGGGAGGGCAGCAGAAGGTGCTGAGGGCGCAGGGGTGGATCCTCTGCGACCAGCCACTGCCAGCACGAGCGCAGCCACTGGAGCAGCCGCGGCAGCAGCAGCAGCAGCGGGGGCCGAGCAGCAAGCAGCACAAGGAGAGCCGCCAGGAGCGCCACCGGCAGCACGTGCCACAGCAGCAGCGAGCAAACGGCAATGCTTAACGGTGAATTCCCTGTAACAATATTTCGTCTTCAGTATGGGAAGTGTCCAGAGTGACTCGCTGGGCTTGTTGATCATCGGCTCGAGTACGCCGCCGCCACCGTGCTGGGCGCGCTGCATGCATGCATGTGGGGAGCACCAAGGTAGCGACAGAACCTGTAGTTACTTGCACGCCGACAAGCAACACGGCAGGGGGAAACTGTTGAGCCTGGAGGAGAAATGCGTGCCGTGGTTTGCACATGCCTGGTCAGAGCGGGCGTGCAGCCTCGCGTTTTGCGGCAGTGGCCCAGGATATGTGGGGGCGAGCATGCAGCGCCGCGCCGTGGGCTGGGCTTCAGCCGCCACCTGAGCGGCAGCAGCGGCGGCGGCCGCGACCTCCTGCGGCTCTTTGCCCTGCCCGCCTACCGGCTGGCCCGCAAAACAGAGGAAGACCTGGCAGCCGACGCCGCCGATCCTTCCAGCCCCAACGGCAGCCGCTTCCCCTTCAAGGTGCGGCTTCTATGGCAGGCTGGATTCTGCTGGCAGCCGCCGCCACCGACACCTGCCTGGAATGCCTCGCCTGTTGCAGGATGAGTTTGAGGTTGCCAAGGGGCTGACCATCAGCGGGCAGCAGGTGGTGGACACCCTCACCCCACTCATGACGCAGGACAGGATCCAGCGCATCGAGCGGGTGGGGCGGGGCGGGGCGCTGCACAGCAGCAAGGTCCCCTGTCGCTCTCCCGCGCGCCCGTGTGTGACCCACCCGCCTGCCCTGCAGGTCTGCGCTGCCCGCACCTTCAACGTGCTGCCCATTGTGGAAAGCATCTACGACATGGGAAACCTGGCCGCGGTGTGCCGCAGCGCCGACGGTGAGGGAGGGGAGCGGCGGTGCACCAGGAGCTGCCACTCCATGTCCGCCCCTGCGACAGCCGGGCATGGGAGGCCAATTCACGTGTTGCCCCAACTGCCGCGCAGCCCTGGGGTTTGGCGCGCTGCACGTCATCCGCAACACGCGGGACGAGCGGTACAAGCAGAGCACGCGCAGCGCAGCAGGTGGGGGCCTGCACGTGCACATGCGTGCCTGCCCATGCTGGTCAGGGTCTGTCGAGCCAGCTGGCTCCGTCTCCTTGCAGGCGCCGACAAGTGGCTCGATGTGCAAGTCTTCAACAGCACCGAGGTGGGCGTGCGCACAGGGGTGGGCATGCGCGGCAGCCCTCGCCAGCCAGCGGTCGGCTGCCTGGCCCTCCTCGCATGCCAGCCACGTGACGCACCCGCCTACCTGTGGCCACCCGTTTCCCTGCTTTACCCTGCCTTGCCTTTCCTCGCCCGGCCCTGCCTCCCTGCAGGAGTGCGTGCTCAACGCCAAGAGGCTGGGGTACCAGGTGGTGGCCACCCACCTGAGCCCGGATGCTGTGGACATCAGCCAGATCGACTGGACCCGCCCCACGGCGTTCATCATGGGCAAGTGAGTGGCGCGGGAGTGAGTGGCATCCCACACAGCGCTGCCGGAGCGGCGACGGGCCACGTCCAGGCAGCCAGCGGAGGCACGTGTGCCCGCCGCATCTCCTGCCGTCCGTCCAGCAGGCAGGCAGGCAGGCTGAGCTGCGGCCTGCCCCCATGTATGTTGCTGCAGCGAGAAGCGGGGCGTGAGCTGCGAGGCTGTGGCGCTGGCCGACGCCTGTGCCGTGGTGCCCATGGTGGGGTTTGTGGACAGCTACAACCTGTCCGTGGCGGCGGCGCTCATCATGTACGAGGCGCGACGCATGCGGGAGCAGGCGCTGGGGTGAGCGGGTGGGGCGGGGAGGCTCCGGCGGTCTGGGCCCGGCCGTTGAGCGAGGCGGAGGGGGCTCTGGCCTGGCCGGCTGCGCATCCGACTCGCGCTGCGCTGCTGGCTGCCCGCAGGGCGTTGGGCGACCTGACGGCGCAGGAGAGGGCGCTGCTCAAGGCCTTCCTCTTCCTGCGCAGCAAGGGGCAGGTGTGCGGCGTCGGTGGGGGCGTCGGTGGTGGCCGGGTGCGATTGGCGGAATAGGTCGGGCCTGGCCTGCCAAGTCGGCATGCTTGTGTGCGGGCGCACCTGTCGAGGAGGCTACCTCCACAGTGTGGCGTTGATTGCACCCCTGCTGCAGGCCCGCGAGTACATACAGCACATGCTGGAGCGGCCGCCGCCGCAGTGGCAGGCGCACCGCGGCGGCGGCGACTGGGGCGACAAGGGCTTCTCGTTAGACGGCGGCAGCGCAGGCGAGGGCGGCCAGCAGCAGCGGCAGAAGGAGGAGCGGCCCAGGCAGCGGCTGCAGACCACGCAGTGCCACTACTGGGACGGCAGCTGCTGCTGGGGGGAGCGGCTGCTGTGGCCCGGCAAGCCCTGCAGGTAAGCACGCGCTCGGGCGGCGTGGCATCACCAGCCCGGCCAGTACTGCTAGCTCAGTGTTAAAACTCCCTGCCACCTGCCTCCCCCTCAGGTATTCGATGGCGCACAACCACAGGGTGTCCACCCTCAACAAGGAGAAGCTGAAGCAGATGTGCGAGAAGCAAGCGCTGCTCTTCCCAGACCTCTCCACGCCGCCGCCCCTGCCGCCGCAGCTAGCGCAGCGGGCCGAAGCCCAAGCTTCGGCGGCAGCAGAGGATGCGGCAGCTGTGGCTCAGGCAGCAGCGGCACGGGAAGCACAGCAGGCACTCCTGGCAGCAGCAGGTGCAGGCAGTGCTGTAGGGGTGCGGTGTGCATAGCGCACTGACCTCTTTTTTTGCCTGGACTGAACGCTGTCATTTCACGTATGGCCACGCGTGGGCAGGCCAGGAAGCTCCCAGGCTCATGAGGAGAATGCTGGGCACCAGGCCACAAGCTAGGAAGGCAGCCAGTGGCAGTGGTGACGAGTTACAACATATTTCAAAGGGGCTGCCGCAGAAGGGCACCAAATAAAAGCAAAACACGAGAACAATACATGAAAAGATTGGTAGCTAAGGCACCGCAGCACAGCCAGGGCAGCAGTGGCGACGGCGCCGCTGCTGCTGCCGACGTTTGTTGCCGCCAGCGCTCGCTCGCAATAAGCTATAGAGGTCCGAAATACGTTGCAGCACAGGTGCACTCAGGCTCCAGGTATGCCGCAGCCCCTCGGGCCCCATTAACTGCAGCATTCTCCAGAGAGAGGCTCTGGCCAGATGTCGGTGGGGTGTTCGGCAGTCTCACTGCCGGTCGACCTTCCTCCAACAAAACTTGCCGAACCTCGTTCTCAGCAGCGCTGCAGGAAGGGGGCAGCCTGTGGTGTGGAAACGACAATGCGCCCCTGCGGCGGACAACAGCAAAGCACAACGAGCAAACGCGGTGGGGCGCCGGAGCGCCAGCAGCGAGATGCCAGCGGCGGTAACGCATGCAGCGGCTGTCCGCATGCATAGCATGGATGCACGCATCTGCACCTGCTCAGTCGTGGAGTCCCAGATACATCCTGAAGAGGCCGGGCACCAACAGGACGGTGCTCACAGCGGTCAGCGCCAGCGGGATGACCTTTGACGTGATCATGTCGCCCTCTGCGGGCAGCAAGCGCCGGCGACAAGCATGGGCGCATGCTCAGCGCCCTGCTGCGGTTCTGGCCTGCTGCTGCACTGCGCTGCGCTGGCAAGGCAGCCTAGGGAAACCAGCGACAGAGCGGACAGTCGGGCGGGGTGGTGACAAGCGCGCAGCCAGGCGGTGGGCTGCACGCCAGCACCGCGGTCGCTGCCTCCCGTCCTGGAGCTCACCCTTGCGGTGGACAAAGCCGGGCGCAGACTGAATCGCCTTCTGCTTTGCCACGAGTTTGGGCCACCCCTGCAAGGCACAGCACTCTCACTGGTCACAGGGTGTGGCTGCAAAGTGGCTGAGGGAACTTGCAGCGAGGGATGGCGCACGAGCCAACTTGCTGCCTCCCCAAACGTGCCTTTGCCCACTCCGCCGCGACCTTGGAGGCAGACATGGTGATTGCAAGCCAGTGGCGAAGCAGGGGGGCGGGGGGACTGCGGTGGGGGAGCGGGGGGAGCGGCCTTTCGAGCTGCGTCACCCGTGGCGGAGATGCAGGGTTAGGGTTCGCTCCTCTGCTGGCTCCTGCAAGTTGGATGTACCATTTGTAGATTCTCAAGGCCGCTGCAAGCTCACGGGGGCGGCCCGGGCGGAGGTGGCTGTGCGCCCTCCGCCGCCGCTTGCGGGAAGCCCGCCGCAACTTCAAGCTCAGGAGCACCAGTCGAAGGGTGGTGATTTCATGCCACAAGGATGGATTGCACGTGACAGTTTCTGCAAGTACTTGGAATGTGCTGCGCATGCCCGCAGCCGCTCCGCTCCCTGCGCAAGCGCGATTGCCAGTCCTCACTCCACCTTGCCTACACGTCAGCGGGATGTGGTGCGTTCCAAAAGTGAGCAATCTCGGTCCCTCATTGCACCCTCCCCCTCCCCACCCGTATCTACCTCGTCCCAGTATCATGTTGAAGACGCCCCGGAGGCTCAGCCCAATGCCCACAGCAGAGAGCGCCAGTGGGATGGTGCGCGAGATGATCGCATCATGTGGGCCTGCGCAACACAAGCACAGAAGTGAGCCACCCCGTTCAGGCGTGCCAGGCACCGCCGCGGCCCGACCTGGCCGCCAGTGACAGCCGCCAGACTAGTGGTGCGCGCTGCGCAGGCCAGGCTCACCCCGCAGGTGAATCAAGGCAGGGCGCTTCTTGGCCAGGGCCTGCTGAGCTTCCACAATCTTGTTCCACCCCTGTGAACAGAAGGAGCGGGCGGCAGTCAGGCTCCTGAATATGAAGGGCGGCTGCTCAGAATGTAAATGCGAGGCGGAGCTCGGCAGGCGGCGTGGGCGGTGCTGAGCCGGCCAGACTGGTGCTGGCTCCCGGGCTCTACTGCGGCCCAGCCAGCCAGTGCATTGAGCTAAGAGAGGCAGCGGCAGTGCGGGAGGGCAAACCCTCTCAGCCAAGACTCCTCCAAATGCACCTTGCCCCACTCCTTCTTAACGTCAGCCATGCTGCTGCTGCTAGACATTTTGGCGTGTTTGGAGCCAACAATGTTGCTCCTGCCAACCTCGGCCGCGCCCTACTGCCGCGCTGAGCGCTGGGCGCCAGCTGGGTTGAAGCGGGAGCTTGGATTTGTTTGCAACTGTTGCAAACGTGCAGTGCACAGGTGTCCGCTGGACGAGGACACACTCAAGCGGCGAGGGGAGTTGAAAGGAAAGTTCTCAAGGGGAGTGATGCTAGCCCGCGCTTGCATGGCTCGTCCAGTAAAAGTCCAGCAGGGCGGCAAGCACCAGGCCACACTGCGCCGCCGACAGCGCGCGCAGTGTGCGCACCGCGCCCTCATACTGCCAATCTTCGGGGTGGGCGCCGCCGCCTGTGCTGCTGCCGCCGCTGGCGGGCACGATGTGCTCCTGCTCGATCGGCGGCAGCCCTCGCTCCCTCCTCCAGGCCACGTAGGCTTTACACTGGGACCGCACCACCAGCATGGTTGGCAGTAGCAAGCCCAGCCAGAACTGGAGGGCAGCTAGCACTGCAGCACGGCAAGCAACACACGTGATGAGACGGGAGCAGCGTGCCGCTTGGTGCGACTCTCATTGCTGGTCTGGCGCCACCAGGCTTGCGCAGCCTGCAGCCTCCACTCCATGGCGACTGCTGCAGTCTTCACTCCACAGGTCACAGCACCCGCCTACCCGCCTACCCGCCTACCCGCCTACCCGCCTACCCGAGGTGCACTGCTGCTGGCTGAGGTCCGGGCCCATCCCGGCAGACAGCAGCTGCAGCCGCTCCAGCGGCAGCGCAGCGGGGCGCAGCCAGCGGTACGCCGCGCCAATGGCCCGCTCGCTGAGGGGCAGCTGCGCAAAGCTGGCGCAGCTGCGTGCATTGGTGGCCGCCGCGGCCGCCGCCGCCGCCACTTGGACGAGCACGGCCGCCAGAGGCGGGAGCTGCATGCCCAGGGCAGACTGCACAGCAGGCAGGAGGGGTGCATGGAGCAAGGTCGATGCACGGTGCCGATGCAGTCCCTGCGGGGTGCCGACCTTTGCATTATGCTCATGCTGCCCGCGGTGGTGTGCCAGGCTAGGCAAGGGAATCCACCTACCGTGCCGAGGGCGCACACACCAGAGGACATGAGGAATGCCAGCAGGACGTGGGGCTCGAGCGGCGCAAAGCTGCCCGCGGCAGGCGAGGCTGGGGCCGGGGCGGGCCCAAAGGTGCGCATCGTGTCCACAGCCAGCAGGCGGCCCGCCATGGCGAGCCTGGCCAGCGGCACGGTGGCCCAGCGGCGGCACCCGTAGCTGGCAGGCGCCGCCAGCTGCCAGGCGCCCAGCGCCGCGAGCACCGCCACGGTGGCCCACGTCAAGGCCAGCTCCAGAGGCTGGAAGCCGCGGCTCTGGCAGGTCACCAGCAGCAGCACCGTGCCAAACAGGGCCAGCGCGTGCCAGTCCTTCTGCGAAACCGCCACCGCGTCGGTGAAGGAGCCGGGGTGGAGTGGGGAGGGTGCCTGGAGGGGTGGGCCGGCGCGGGGCTGCGCAGCGGGCGCTCCCGCCGCAGGCCCGCCCGCCTGCTGCTGCCCCTGCTGCCCCTGCGCAGGTGCATGACCGCTGCTGCTGCCCTGGTCGGGGTGGGGCCCCGCTCCTGCGAGCAGCGACGAGAACCCTCTCGTCATGTTTTGCCCTTTGCTTAAAAGGAGCTCTGGGCTGCCTGCCTTCTATGGAGAGCTCAAAAGGGATGAGGAGGAGGAGAGGGGTGTGGCCAAGCCTGAAGTTGGCCCTCAGCTGGGAGCGCAGCAGCCATCGCACAGGGGCAGCCATCGCCTAATTGAGGGCTGCCCGGACGCCCTCTCTGCAATCTTGCGATGTAGGTTGTCCGTGTGGATGAATCTCGTGTGCTCTGTAGCCATGATTGCCATGCCGAGACTGGCCCATGTGGCTGCTGTACACCGCCTGCTATCTTTGCACGCCGCATGGGTGCTGCTGGCGTACACGGCCATGCTGTGGGTGCGCCTCGCAATCACCAGCGCCTGCTGCGGGGTGCGCCTGGTGCGCCGTCGCTCCCCCGCGCTCGTCTGCCTGCACACCAACTCTCTGGTGAGCGCCAGAGCCTTGGATGCCACTCACGAGGCTCAATCTACAACTGTGGGGCGGCTGGCTGGCTGCTGTCAAGAGTGCGCCACAGGGCGACTGGCGGGGAGTTGCTGCCAACCGGCAACCGGCTCTGGTTTGCGGTCCTGCCGCCGCACTGCAGGGAGGTTACCACAGTGAGCTGCAGCGCACCTGGTGCAGCCTGGAGCGCACCGTGGCCTCGGGCGCCCCCCACATCAGGCCGGGCAGGGGCTGCTGACCGTGACACAGCCTGTGCTGCTACAATACAGTTCACCTGATGCACTTTGCGCAGATTCCGCGCTCAGCTGCCGCCAGCTGGTGCCACTAGCAGTTGCACTGGTCTTCTGGCAGGCGCCCCCCGCCCATGCGTCCCCCCCCACGCGTGCCGCCGCCTGCAGGTGGCACCGCCTGGACCGCTTTGCGCTGCTGTTTGACGACCAAGTCAACTTCCCGGCAGAGTGCTGCCGCGCCTCCCTGGGATACGTGGTGGCTGCCTCCGACGATGATGGCCCCCGCTGCGCAGGCGCGCCTGGCCTGGCCGTGAGTGGAGGGGCTGCGGCGCTGCCGTCACCATGCATGGCCGAGGCAGCAGACGCCCGTCTGCGATGGCCCCCACCCGCTGATACTGCCCCTGCGCTCTCTCGCTGGCTGCAGACGTGGAGCAGGTGGCCGCCGCCTGGCGCCAGCACCCGCTGGTGACCTGCCACGGCCTGCAGGTGGCGGTGCTCCCCGCCGGCGACTGCCTGGCCGCCGACATGCCGCACTGTGGTGAGCGGCGCCCAGTTGTGCGTTGCCAGCATCAGCAGACCTCCTGAGGCAGAGGGGCTGAAGAGCACGGGGGCTCGGAGGGAGGGGCACCCTGCCGCCTCTTGCTGCGGCGCTGACCAGCGACGAGCTGCGCTGGCTGCGCCTGCAGGCCCCGTGTCCTACCTCATCTGCCTCGTGCGCGCCCTGCACTGCCTGCGCGAGGAGGTCCGCGCCACGGGGCTGTCGGCCAAGGTACGGGCAGTCGGCTGCGTGCGTTGGGCGCACGCCGTGCCCAGGTCGGGCATTGCACGACGTGTGTGGCGCCTCTGACACCCTCAGGCCTGCGGTTTGCCACCTGTCCTGCCCCCGTTGGCAGGTGCCGGGCCTGCTGGAGCTGCAGAGCCCCGCGCGCCGCCGCATCACGTACCTGCTGCCGTTGGAGGCGCGCACTGAGCTGCTGCCCTTTTGAGCCGGGGAGCTCGGGAGGCTGGGCGTCTCCATCTCTACCACCGCCAAAGCAACACAGGAATCAGTGACCGTTTACCTGCATTCAGTTGTCCCAGTTTTCACCTGCCTCTGCATGCTGCACCACTCTGCCGTGCCCTTGTGTACCACTGCAGCTGTTTTCCCTGGAGCTGCCTCAGTTTTCCGTCTGCTTTGCCGCAACTGTCTGCGAACCAATGCATCATTTCACGACTGCTCTTTTTTGACTTCTTTTGCAAATCCCACGGGGTTGTGCGCCGCCGCCGGACAAGTGGCGGTGACGGGGCGCCGCCGGACTTGGCATGCACCTGCACTGCAGGGCAACAACCGTGGATCACAAGCTCCATTTGGCATCACTCTTCATCGAAGAGCCTGCCAGGGGTGTGTCCGTGCAAACACAAGCTTTCACGAGGCACAGTCAGCAAGAGAGTCTAGCTCTCTTCTGGTCTCGTTTGCACTCCCTGTGCGTTACACAGGTTCGGTGGGGAGCCGCAGGAGGTCCGCGGCGCGGCGCGGGCAACGCGGCTGACGGGGTGCCTGTCCGGCTGCAGGCAGCAAACTAGCTCATGGGGTCCTCGTTCTTGCGACTGGCGGCGCTTGCTGGCGGGCATGACGCTTGGCCTGGCGCCGATGCCGCGGCGGCGACAGCGGCGGCGACAGCGGCGGCGGGCCACCGGCTCTTGCTGGAACAGGGCGGCAATGGGCTGTCGGAAGGCATGGTGGTTCTGTACATCATCACATCCGTGGTCCTGGTGGCTGTGTCTGGCCTCATGGTGGGTTTGCAGAACATCTGCTTGGCTGCTTTGGCTTCAACTTGCCAGCTGCTGCGCCTCACCGGGAGCGGTTCCGTGCTCTCTTCTGTACAAGTCCCACATCACCTGCCTCCGCCCTGCAGGCAGGGCTGGTGCTGGGACTGCTGTCATTGGACCGAATGGACCTGGCTGTCTTGAAGCGCACCGGCAGCGAGCAGCAAAAGTGGCTGGTGGGGCGGGTGGAGCCCCTGACGCGAGATCCACACTTTACCATGGTAAGCAGCACCCATGGCAAGTAGCCAGTCATTCTGTCACTCTCCAGCGCTGCGCATTGCACATTTTCTCAAAACTGTGTAGCCTGCCGCGAGGCTCCGGTTTGGAAAGCCTGACAACTGAGATGCACCAAGCCAGGCAGCATTCATGGCTTGTTGCGTTTGCTGTGGCTGCAGTGTGCGCTGGTGGTTGTCAACGCCGCCTGCAACACCGCGCTGCCGCTCTTCATCGATCGGCTGCTCAATCCGCTGGCCGCTCTCCTCATCAGCGTCACCGCCATCCTCATCTTTGCCGAGATTGCACCCCAGGTCAGGCTGCACCTCGGCACTGCCGGGACCCACTGCAGCCCTAAGCAGCCCCCTCGCTCTGCTCCTGTACCTTCTGCTGTGCCGGCCTCCCACACGCAGCGCACCCCACGCATCCGCCCGTTTTTTTGTGCGTGCATTTGACCCGTCCCCCCGGCACCACGCCCGCCGCGCGCGCCCGCAGGCTGTGTGCAAGCGCTACGGGCTGGAAATTGGCGCCTACTGCTCCTGGCTGGTGCGCGGCCTGCGCGTGCTCACCGCCCCCGTGGCCTGGCCGCTGGCCAAGCTGCTGGACCTGCTGCTGGGGGAGGAGAGCGTGCTGTTCAGGCGGCAGGAGCTCAACGCGCTCATCTCGCTGCACGCGGAGCCGCAGCAGGATGGGTCGGGTGCGCCTGGCTGCCGGGGCGACTGGGGCTGGGGCAGGGCTGTGTACAGGGCTGGCCTGATGCACAGGGGAGGCCGGTGGGCACCCCCTGTCGAGTATATACTGCTCTCAGCACGCGGATGCGAGCGCCGACTCCACGCTGCTGCGCTGTGCTGCGCCGCGCTGCGCAGTGGGGGCGCTGACCACAGATGAGGCGCAGGTGATCAAGGGCGCTCTGGACATGGCCAGCAAGACGGCAGAGGCGGTGATGACCCCGCTGGCAAAGGTGGAGGAGGCGGCAGCCGGTCTTGAATAGAGCTGGCGCTGGCACGCAGCGGCTGGCCAGGCAGACCCCAGTCATTTTTACTGCCTGTTGCACCCACCTGGAGAGGCGCACCCGGTGTGCCCCGGGCCCCCCCCTTGAGCGCAGGTGTTCATGCTTTCCAGCGAGGCGGTCATCGACTCGCAGCTCCTGGCCACGGTGCTGGCGGCGGGGCACAGCCGCGTGCCGGTGCACGAGGGCGAGAACCGGCAGGCAAGGCAGCCGCGGACTCTGGGCCTCAGAGCAGCGCTGCAGCGGGAGCAGCAGCTGGGGTGCACGCCGGGGGTCAGCCTGATGCCAGCCACAACGGGATAGGCCTCGTGCACGCAGCAGGCATCCACTCATGCACACTGCTCCTTCACCAGCCCCCACCGCTGTCCCCCACCACTACCCGCCCTCCCTCCTAACCACACACACGCCTGCAGGCCATCCTGGGCCTCATCCTGGTCAAGGAGCTCCTGGTGGTGGATGAGGCGGCGGGGATGCGGGTGAGGGACCTGCGCCTCCGCGAGATGCCCTTCCTCTGGTGAGGCAGCTCTGGGAGGGCAGGCAGCGCTGGGTTGCGGGCAGCGCTGTGGGGCAAGCAGCCTCGCGCGATGAGGGAGCAGCGCCCTCATGCTGGGGTGGGGCGAGACACCTTCGCCCGCCTTCGGTACCCAACCTGTGAGCCTGCTCCCCGCCCGCTCCTCCCTCCCCGCGTGTGGGCGACAGTGCGGACATCCCTCTGTATGACGTCCTGAAGATCTTCCGCTTTGGGCGCAAGCACATGGCCTGCCTGACCCGCGTGTCGCGGGAGGCCTCGACACGAGGCATCATCGGCGGCAGCCCCGCCGCCAACGGCAGCACGGACGGCGGCCTCGTGCGCCGCGCCTCGCCCGCGCTGCCGGGCGCGTTTGTGGAGGGGCAGCAGGTGGAGGAGGTGGTGGGCATCGTGACGATAGAGGATGTGCTGGAGGAGCTGCTGCAGGTGGGCTCCCGGCACCAGCACCGTACCTGTCGACCCCTTTTGTGCGCGCTAGCCATGACAAGAGCGCCAGTGCTGCTGCCGTGGGTCGAAAGGCAAAACCCCACCAGCACCATACTTTTGGACCCTTTTTTGCGCAATAACAATGGGAAGAGCGCCAACGCTGGTGCCGCGCACAGCCCACAGCCTGTGTGTGTGTGGCTGCCTGCCCTGCAGGCCGAGATTGTGGACGAGACCGACAGGTTTGAGGACAACCTGCAGACGGTGCCGGTGCCGTCCCTGCCCCAGGCACGCTGGCTGCCCCGCCTGCCGCCGCAAGCTGGCCCTCCTGCCGCCACCAGCAGCGTGTGCTCCTGCACAGCCGACGCCCCGACCTGTCCACCCCCTCCCCCGCGCCCCGCCTGCAGAAATCGATGAAGGAGCTGCCGCCCCACCTGCGCCGCTTCCTGTCGCCCCGCCGCTCCATGCACGGCGCCAAGATGGACGCCGACCGCGCCGCCATCGAGGTGGCCCGCCTCTCTCCCGTCTCTGCCGCCTCCAGCGCCACCGGGGACACCATTGCAAGCGTGCCAGCGCCGCAGCACGGGCCCGGGCCGGAGCAGGCGGGCCCTGGATCGCCAATGCAGCGCCAGGGGTCGGGCCTGGGGCGGCGCTCTGTGTCCACATCCTCGCTGGGAGCGGCGGCCGCCGCCAGCGTGCTGGTCGCCACGGTCGGCCCCGCCGGCGGCGGCGCCGAGGCGATGGCTGCCGCGGTGGCGGCGGGGGTGCGTGCCGCGGAGCTGAATGCAGCCAGCCATGCAGGGCAGGCGCAGCCGGCGTCGAGGCCCGGCAGCCGCCTCGCTTCCGGTACCCTGCCTGACAGCGCAGCCGGGGGAACCCCCGCCCACAGCCGGGCTGGCAGCGGGCTCCCGCCGCTGCCGCCCCGTGGCAGCAGCACCGGAGGCGCCAGCCACCAGCATGTTACCTTAGAGCTGGGAGATCTGCATGCCCGCCACACCACCACCAGCAGCGAGGGCAGCCCCAGAGAGGAGGAGGAGCAGCGCCACCCACTGGTCAACCGCCGCAGCAGGCAGCAGGGGGCCAGCTAACAGCGCGAGGCGGGTGGCCTACTTCGATCGCATTTTGCCTGCGCTGTGGTTCCTGTGATTGACCCGACTTTTTTCGGCATTGGAGGAGAACATTGATCCCATTTGTGAGCCATCTTTTTGAGATGAGGGCAGCAAGGTGGCGGCGCTGAGCTGGCGGCGGGAGGGCGGCAAACCCTTCAAGCGCTGATCGCGCAATAGCGCGTGACAAGCGCCTTCAGCAGAAGAACACGATGTCGATGGCAGCCCTGCTCAGACGGTCCCTGCTCGAGGAGTGCCCCCGGTTGCTGCTGCCTGCCCTGGCGCGCAGCTATGCAGCTGGACCAGGCGCCGCGCGGCTGGGCATACCAGGGGTGCAACACATCATCGCCGTGGCCAGCGGCAAGGTTTGTGCGCCGCCCCGCCTGCCGCTGCCGCCCTGCCGCTCGAGCCGGCGCCCCTGGCCCCCACCCTCACAGCCAGCTCCTGCTGCATCTCTGTGCCGCAGGGCGGCGTTGGCAAGTCGACCACAGCGGGTGCGCCTCGAGTTCCCGGCAGCTGCCGCATCTGCCGCTCACCTGCTGCCGCAGTGGCCCCTGCTCTGCCGCCCCCAGCCAACCGCTCTCGTCGGCCGCCGATGTGCTGCCGCTCCCCACTGGCCGCCTCTGCGCAGTCAACCTGGCTGTGGCGCTGGCTCAGCGGCTGGGCCTCAGGGTGGGCCTGCTGGATGCCGACGTGTACGGCCCCAGCATACCGCGCATGATGTGCCTGTCGGGCAAGCCGCGCGTGGACGAAGGTGCGGCGGGGCCCCCGCCTCCTCCCCTCCTCCTCTCCACCTCCCCCAGCTATGCGCTGGGTGCTGCATGGACGCGGGAATGCAGGCAGCAGGCCCCGCAGTGCACACCACAGCGGCTGTCACCCTGTTTGCATGGCCACGCCGCTGCTGTTCTGAAAACAAGAGGCAAGCCTCGTGCTGCCGCGGCCCTGCAGACGAGAAGATGATCCCGCTGATCAACCACGGCGTGGCATGCATGTCCATGGGGTTCCTGATGGAGGAGGATGTGGCGGCGGTGTGGCGCGGTCCCATGGTGCGTGGCTGGCCGGGCGCGCTCGATGGCGCCGGGGCACGAGAGCTCGCGCTCCGGCCCTCTGCCCTGTCCCCTCGCCGCCCACGGGCATGGCCTTGGACCCCTCCTCCGCCACCACCCGCTGCCCTGCATCCCACGCCACGCCACGCCGCGCCAGGCCAGGCCACGCCACGTGTGCGCCTTGACCGGGCAGTCGCAGGCGCCGCATGCCTGCACCCACACCTGTTCCTGTGCCCACCCATCCACACGCCCCCAGGTCATGTCTGCCCTGGAGACCTTCATGCACCGGGTGCGGTGGGCGCCGCTGGACGTGCTGGTCATTGACATGCCGCCAGGCACAGGTGGGCGTGGCCTTGTGTGGCCTTGTGTGGGGGGACTGGGGCCCCGCGGCGGAAGTGGAGAGTGTGTGTGTGTGTGTGTGTGTGTGTGTGTGTGTGTGTGTGGCGCACGGAACTGGCATGGGGTGTGAGGGGCGGTGGCGGTGATGTGGTGGTGTGTGGGCGCGTAAAAGTAGCATGGCATGAGGGGTGGCTGTTACGTGCGGTGTGGGAAGCCTTGGTCCGGCAAGCCCTTGCCCAGGCCTGCGCCCCGCCCCTGCCTGCCCGCAGGCGACGCGCAGCTGAGCATCAGCCAGCGGCTGCGCCTCTCGGGCGCCGTCATCGTGTCCACGCCGCAGGCCAGTGGCCCTCGCGCATGCTCGGCGGGCCGCTGGCTCTCTGGGCCAGGCATGCTGCTGGCCTGCCCCTGCTCTCCCGGCCACCCGCCACCCGCCACCTCACCTGGGCCCTCGCCGCCCCCTGCCTCCCGCCACTCACCGCAGGACATAGCGCTGCTGGATGCGCGGCGCGGCTGCACCATGTTCCGCAAGGTCAACGTGCCCATCCTGGGTGGGCGGGGGCAGGGCAGGGTGTGGCGTGGCGTGGTGTGATGTGGTGAAGTAGGGTGGGGCGGGGAGCGGGGTGGGCGGCTGAGGCGTGACATGGGTGTAGCACGGCTGGGGGGCGACCTAGGGTCGGTAGCACGGCTGGGTCGTGGCTGGTGAGCAGCCTGGCAGTACCAACCACCACACCACACCAACCCCGTCGCTCCATCCCCCGCGCGCGCTGCCCCAGGCATTGTGGAGAATATGTCTTGGTTCATCTGCGGCGCGTGCGGCCACGAGAGCCACCCCTTTGGCAGCGGCGGCGCGGAGAAGGCGGCCGCCGACTTGGACATGGAGGTGCTGGGCAAGGTGGGTGGGCTGGCTGGGACCGAGTGGTAGCTGGCGTGCAGCTGCGCTGCCTGGCTGGCGGGTGCGGCTCCCGCCCTGGCGCTAAGGCTGGCCGCCTGCCAGCCGCTCCCTCACATGCTCCGCGCGCCGCCCTGGTTGCGTGCAGATCCCGCTCAACATTGCCATCCGGGAGACGTCGGATGTGGGCGCCCCCATCGTCGCCACCCAGCCCGACAGCTCGGCGGCGGCGGCGTATGTGTCCGTGGCGGAGCGGGTGTGGCAGAAGCTGCAGCAGGCGGAGGGCGGCGGGGAGGGGCAGGGCCAGCGGCACGGGCCGCCCAAGATCGTGATGGAGTAGCAGCGCTGCTGGTCCGCATGCGCGCTCCGGGGGGGGGTCGGTTTCTGCCGCCGCTTGTGCTGTTGACATCACGTGCCACCGCCTCGCCTGGCACGTGCCGGGGTTGTAACCAGCTACCTAAACCATCCACTCTGAGGCAAACCGTGAGCTCAACTGCGCGCCCTCCTTGCCGTCGTGGACCATTGGTGCCGCGCTGCGCTGTGCTGAGCGCCGCCGCCTCGCCTCCCGCCCCTTCTCCCCACCAGATTGCCGGCCTGCTGGCTCACGGTAGCCAGCCCTTGCTTTAGAACTGCGAAGGGAGAGCAAGCGTGGTTGCCAGTGGTTGCAGGGGGCGCATAGGGTTTTGCGGGCACCGCCAAGCACCATGGAGCAACTGGGCAAGGACTTGCAGCTCCACATTCTGCGTGAAATGGATGTGCAGAGCGTGAGTAGGGCGTTGAGAGCCGCCCAAAGCGCCGCCATCCATCCTTTCATGGTGTCGTGGCCCAGCGGTAGCCTCCTCCTCGTGCAGCACTGCTTGCCTTGCCAGTGGGCTTGAACAGCTCCTCACCGATTCCGGCGCCAGCTGCTGTGTGTTTGTGTGGTCGCGGACGGCGGACCGGTGGGCGGGCGGTGGACCCTACCGCGGCTCAAGGCGGGCCTCTTCTCTCGCCACCTGCTCGATTTGTCACACAGCCTGCTTCCTACCCTGCCCCCCGCGTGCAGGTGCTGTCGCTGGGCGCCTGCAACAAGGACTGGCAGCAGCTGGCTGGCGGCGAGGAGGCGCTGTGGCGGCACCTGTGCCAGCGAGACCAGGCCTCGCTGAGGGGCCACCACTCCGAGCTGCGCAGCAGCGGGGCCAGCTGGGCGCAGGCCTACCGCTCCGCCCACCGCCTGCAGGGCCTGCGGCGCCTGGTGTGGGACCGCCAGGAGCGGCTGGCGGGGCGGCCGCCGCGGGGGCGCGAGGGCCACGCCGCGTGCAGCTGGGGCCGCGCCTCCATGCTGCTGAGTGGCGGCTTTGGCGGCGGCGTCATCTCAGACCTCCACCTGCTCACCCCGCAGCCCCACGCCGCGGGAGGGGGCTACCGCTGGGTCCAGCCGCGGGTGGCGGGGCGCTTCCCGGTCTATCGCTATGGACACACGCTGACCCGCTGCGGCCCGGAGGGGGAGCTGGCGGTGCTGTTTGGCGGCCTCATGGCCGGCGGCTACCAGGTGCGGGCGCGGCTGCCTCCTTGCGGCGCGCCATCTTTCCTGGCTGCTTGCATGCAGAAGTGCGTGCTGTGTGGGCAGCGCGCCTGCTCTGACGCATGGTGCCATGCATGCCGGCAGGCAGGCACCTCTGGGCTGGCCGCCCGGCGGCCTTGCTCGCCTCCCCAGCCAACCCGCCAGGCATCTGTGCGCTCGCCCGCCTCCCTCGCCCCCGCAGGCACCACTGGATACGATTGCGGTGCTGCGCCGCACGCCGGGGGCTGCCGACGCGGAGGCCACCGCAGCCGCTTCAACCGCCGGCGCCGCCGCCGCGGCTGGCGCGGGTCCCAGCCAGCGGGAGGAGCACACTTCGCTGGGGCTGAGCCTGGGGCGCGGCGCGGGCGGTACCTGGTCTCAGGTGCTGTGGGCCCAGATGCTGCGGGACCACGAGGAGGCGGAGGGGTATGAGGAGGATGAGGATGAGGATGAGGATGAGGGCGATGAGGAGGAGGGCTTTGAGAGCGAAGAGGATGTGGATGCGGTGATGGGTTCGGATGATGAGATGGAGACAGAGGAGGAGGAAGGTGCGCTTGGACTGGCAGGTTGGGGCGAGGCTGGGGCTGGGCTGCCGCAGCAGCTGCCGCGCGCAGGCGCCTGCCGGGCACCGCGGCGCCGGAGCTTTGCTGCGATGCCCGGCTGTACATCGCGCCGCCTGCCTGCCCGCATCCCGACTGCTGCTGCCGCTGCCGTCGGTTGTGTTGCAGGGGATGAGGATGAGGAATGGGTGCCCGGCGGCGCCAGCGCCGAGCACCCGGCCTCCATGCCTGCGCACGCTGTGCACGCTGGGGTGGCCCCCGCCATGGCCACCGGGCTGGCAAGCAGCGGCCACGCCCTGGGCGAGATCATGGCACGGCTGCAGGACGTCGCCGGCGAGCAGGGCGCTGCCGCTGCCGCGGCGGGGCAGGGGCAGGAGCAGGAGTGGGTGGCTGAGGGGCAGTACGAGTGGTGGTATCCCGAGGTGGGCGGCGAGGCGCCGGGCGCGCGCGGCTACCACAGCGCCGCCGCCTCCGAAGACGGGCGCCAGGTGGGGCTGGGGCGAGGGCGCCTGTGTGGGGCTGCGGGCTTGCTGCCACGCAGGCCCGGGCCGCCATGTGCGGTGGCTGGGTGGGGCGCCCACCATGACCAAGCCGGGTGGCACAAAACCCCGGCGCCGTGCTGCGCTGCGCTGCGCTGCGTGGCCTCCACCGCTCCCGCTGCGCTCCGCGCCTCTCATCCCCCCCCCCCACACACCTCCACCCCCCGCCGGTAGATCTGGTACTTTGGCGGTATCGCGGAGCGGGGCGCCTCCAGCTCGCTGGCCGTCCTGGATGTCGCCACCTGGCAGTTTAGGTGGGTGGCAGCATGGTGGCTGCCTGGGGGTGGGGTGGGGATTGGGAAACGCTCGCTGTTGCACAGCCCAGCTCGCTGTGCACCCGGCCACCAGCCCATGCTCCTCCCTGCCTCCCGGCACAAGCCTCCGCCGAGCACATACCTACCACCAACTTAATGAATCCCCCTGCTGCCTCCGCGCCTGCAGCTGCCCCGTCACCAGCGGCGACCCGCCGCCGCTGCGCCTGGGCCACTCGTCGTGCGTGCACGGCGGGCGGCTGTGGGTGGTGGGCGGCGGCAGCGGGCGCGACCTGCTGCGCAGCGGGCGGGACCTGGCTGACGTGTACTGCCTGGACCTGGGCACAATGGTGGGCGCCAGGAGGAGGGGTGTGTGTGCCTGTGCGTGAGAGAGGGAGAGAGAGACAGAAAGCGGGAGAGGGAGAGAGGGAGAAGAAAGAGTTGGGGAGTGACGCAGTCACCACAACCTGCATGGGAGTGGCTGCACCAGCTCCGGACTGGGCAGCAGCATGGTCGAGGTTTTGCCTTCCTGCGCTGCCTGGGCTGCCTGCTGCGGCGCTCGCCTCGGCAATGCACTCACTCGCGCCCCGCACCGCACCCCGCTCGCGCCGCGCAGGAGTGGCGGCGCGTGCCCGTGTCGGGCTCGCCGCCGCTGTGCGCGGGCAAGTGCCACGCGTCTGTGCTGGTGGGCAGCCGCCTGCTGTTCTTCGGCGGCTCCATGCACACCTGCAACGAGCTGGCCTGGCTGGACCTGGAGGCGCGGGCCTGGGGGCGGCCGCAGGCGCTGCTGGGCGCGCCGCCCTGCGAGCGCATGTCGGCCACGGCGGTGCTGGCGGGCGGCGGCGACGTGCTGGTGTACGGCGGCTACGGCTTCCACTCCAGAGAGATGGGAGACCTACACCGCCTGAAGCTGCTGCCCAGCGGGCGGGAGCTGGCGGCGATGGAGGCGTGCGGGGGCGGCGCCGCTGGGCCGGCCGCCCGCGCCGTTGAGCGCTTCACCTGCTGGCGCGGCTTCTGGAGGTGACGGGTGCCTGTATTCAGTATATTAATTTCATTCATGAGTTCCCTTCAGAACCTTCTGTGCTGGACCTCTTTTTGCGTGTTGGGTCGCTGGCTTTTCAGCAAGGTCGAGCCGTCCCGCCCCTCTGTGGCCCTCCGTCAATCCTGTCGGCGACTCCTGATATCCTCGCCCTGCGCATCCATACACTCTGAATCGCCGTGTATTTCCCTTCTCTGATGTAAACCTGTTCTTGCTTGTAACTTCTCCTGGCGCGATGCAGGCGGCGGCGGCAAGGCGGCACAGGCGGCAGCCGGCCAGGCACCCTTGCCTGCAGCAGCCCCACAAACAGCCAATTGGTTCCTCATGAATCTGCTCTCGAAACATCTGATACTCAGGCCGGACGCTGCAGGCCCTTGCGCCTGCGCTCGTACACCACCTGGCAGGTTCTTTTCTGCAGGGAGGCCTCGCGAGCCAACCACAGCCCCGTCTTCTAGAACTCGCCAGCCGTACTCACCAGGAACCACCGCCGCCGCAGGCTCTTCATCGCATCTTGGCGTTGCGTTCCAGAAGCACGCTGCCCGCAGCCCCCGCACCGCGCGTACAGCAGAGAGGGGCTGGGCCTCTGTGGGACGCAGCCTGGCGCCTTCCACTGTCCCATGTTCCTGCCGCCGGCGGCTGGGCAGGCGCCGCCGGCGTCGTGGCCAAACCCCGCCGCGCGGCAACTGAAGCGGCAGTGGCAGGCAGAGGAAGAGCAGCAGCAGAGCGGCTACACGGGCGAGCAGCCCGCTTGGGATCAAGCAGCAGCTGCGCAGCCCGATGGCGCCAGCAAGAGGCGGCGGGTGAGCGGCGATGGCGCGGGTGCCGGCCTGGCGCTGCTCACTCCTGACCAGCCGGCGCAGCTGCAGGCGCTGCACCCGCAGCAGCAGATGCAGGGCTGCGTGCAGCACCCACCGCCGCCGCCGCAGCAGCAGCAGCAGCCAGAGGCGGAGATGGAGATGGAGGAGGCCGGGGAGCATGCCGGCAGCGGCGGCAGCAGCGACGGCGGCGAGGAGCAGGTCCCTGGGCGGGCCAGGCGGCGGCCGCGGACAGGGGAGCCCGAGTACCGGCTCATGCTGCCCACCCCGCTGCCGCCAGCCATCCCACAGCTGGCGGGGGCGGTCCCGGCCTGGAGCCCGCACCTGCACGGGCAGCTGGCCAGCCCGGATGCGTGGGCTCTGGTGCCGTACGCGCCGTCGCTGGCGCAGCAGGCGCAGGAGGGGCCGCCAGCCGAGGCCAGTTCGCTGACGCGGCTGCAGCACAGCCAGGTATCGAGAGTGCTGTGCACCCGCAGCAGCGACCCCTGCCCTGCCGCCCTGTCCCCTCCCACGCATGCCGCTCCACTGCCTCTGCCTGCTCCCTGCCCCCTGCGCAGCTCCAGCAGGTGCTAAGCGCTGCGCAGCGGCGACACCTCAAATTTGACCACGAACGACCGCTTCCAGGTCAGCCGCTGCACGCACGCTGTGAACGCGCCGCTTTGGTGCCACCGTGGCAGAGCGCTAGCAGTAAGCGCGGTGCTCAAGGATGCCCAGCCGACCGCTTAACTACTGTGTGCGCTGCTCTGGGGTGTGCCGTGTGCCCACCGCCCTGCAGACATCAGCAGCCTCATGGCCATGGTGACAGACGTGGGCCCAGCGCCCTCGGTGACCATAGAGGAGCTGGAGCCTGGGGGCGGCGCCGAGGGGGATGCTATGGAGGAGTAGCTGGGGTGGTGGCCACTGGGATGGCCGCCTGGCACCACTGGGGTTGCCGCCGTGCCCAACCCTAAGTGATGGATGCAGAATGATGCCCCATGTGTGCACACGCACCCGCTCCTGAACTTTTTTTGCCCATTTCCTTGCGCTCCTTCATCCCTGCTGAACCGTTTGTTTCCGGTGCATGCTTGTCTCCCGCTCTGCTCCGCCTGCTGCTTCATCTTCCTCCTCGTCTTGACTGTGTACTGAATGACTTGCCAAACAGAGAAATTACTTGAGGGCTTCAATGCAAGACCAAGATCTGCTCTGCAAAGGGCGCCTGACAGGCTGGGCTCGAGTTGCACTGTTGCGCCCTCACACGCTGCGCCGCCCCAGCAGGGCCGCCGCCAGCCAGCCAGCTGGCGGTCCTGCATGCTCAGATGAACCCTCGGCGCTTGCCCATACCATCCCGGCATTCACACGATGCTCAGGCAGCAGCAGGCAGCGCTGCTGCGTGCGGCCCACTTGGGCCCCGCGGCCTGCCAGGGCTCGGGACTGGCAGCAGGCTATTGGCGGTCGCAGTCCAGCCAGGCGGCACCAGCCGACAGCCCTGTCGGCCCAGTGCTGCCCCCGTTCGACTATGTCCCCCCCAAGTATACAGGACCCTCGAAGGAGGAGGTGCTGGCCCTGCGCAAGCAATACCTCAGCCCAGGTGCGCCCTTGGTCGAGATGGCGATCGGCAGCGGGCGGGCGACACACCTGCTGGGGCTGCGCCGCCGCTGGCAGGCGGCGGCAGCGGGCTAGGGCGGCGGTAGGGCAACGTCTCGTGGTGTGGCTGGCTCCCCCTGACTCCCCCCTTTCAATCCGTGCAGCTTTGTTCCATCATTTCAAAGACCCAGGTGCGTTTCCTGCCGCCGCAGCTGCTGCCAGCCCACTTGCAGCGCATGCCTCACCGGCCCTGCCGAGCGACACGGATCCACGCCCCACCCCATCTGCCCGTGCCGCCGCATCCATCCCCACCCGCCTGCCTGCAGTGATGATTGTGGACGGCAAGATGCAGTACCTGTTTGACGACAAGGGGCGCCGATACCTGGATGTGAGGCGCGGCGGGGCGGGCGGCGGGGGCAGGGAGCGCCGGGGGCGGGCCCGGCGCGGCATGCAGCGCTAGATGCCGCTGTGCTGCGGCTGCTCGTCGCTGCCGGCAGGGGCTCGAGTGCCTGCCTTCAGGGCGCCTGCCCCAGCCACACCCACCTCCACATAGCGCCACATGCCGCTCGACCGCCCACTCATGCACCCGCCGCCTGTGCGCCGCAGGCCTTTGCGGGCATCGTGACGGTCAGCGTGGGTCACTGCCACCCAGAGGTCAACCGCGCGGTCATCGAGCAGACGCAGCGCCTGCAGGTGCGGCCTGCCCCGCCGCCCGCCGCCCACCTCCAGCGCAGAATGCACGTCGCCAGCCCCGCGCTGCCGCGGCTGCCGGCGCGGTGGCAGCCTCGCGCTTGCTGGCGCGCCCGCCGCGCGGCCGCCCACCGCTGCCCCTCCACCACATGCGACTGCACCACGCAGCTGCCAACCGCGCTCACCGCCCTGCCTCCCTCGCCCTGCCTCCCTCCCCTTTGCTTCTTCCCCGCAGCACACCACCACCATCTACCTGCACAACCAGGTGGCGGAGTATGGCAAGGAGCTCACTGACCGCATGCCGGGCAACCTCAAGGTCGCCTACTTTGTCAACAGCGGCAGGTGGGCACGGGGGCGCGGGACGCCAGCAGCAGCAGCAGCAGCAGCAGCAGGAGCAGCAGGAGGACGAGAGAGCAGGTGGTGGTGGTGCTGAGTGGAGGCGACCGGCGGGCCTGGCGCATGGTTGTGCGCCCTGCCCTGCCACGTGCGCTGCCCGGTGTGTCCGCACCCCTCCCCTCGCACCCACCCGCCCACCCGCTGGCTGGGAGCGCCCCACTGCTCGCCCCGAGTTCCCCGCCCCGCCAGCCCCGTCCTGCCCCACCCACCCTGCCCCACCCTGCCCCGCCCTGCCTCCCTCTGCCAGCGAGGCCAACGACATGGCCATGATGATGGCTCGCCTGGCCACAGGCAACCACGACCTTGTCTGCCTGCGCAACGCATACCACGGCCTGTCGGGTGGGTGGGTGTGCTGTTGCAGGGGTGGGGTGGCCCGGCTGATGCCGCGCCGCGTGCACAGGCACACACACACACATACACACACACACACACAAGCACACACATGCACGCACATGCACGCACATACACACACAAGCATACGTATGCTCAGGCTCACCCCTGCCGTCCCGCCTCCCCGCCTGCCTGCCCCCCCCTGCAGAGGCCACCATGGGCCTGCTGGGGCAGCACACCTGGAAGTTCCCGGTGCCGCAGGGGCTGGGCGTGCACCACGCGCTCAACCCCAACCCCTACCGCGGCGCCTGGGGCAACGACGGGCCCAAGTACGCCGCTGACGTGGCAGACCTCATCCAGGCCGCCACCCCCGGTGGGTGGGTGGGTGGGTGGGTGGATGGGGATCTCGCGGATCCCGAGCCTGCTGGGGTGGGGTGGAGTGGTGGGGCCAGGAGGAATTGTGCCGCCGTCG